CCTGATGCATGGAGAAATGCTCAACTCCTGATGCATGGAGAAAAGGCCTTCACAACCCTCTGCTAATGTGTACATAGTTTATACTAAGTGACCCATAGGTTGAGGAGGCGGTGACCGTGGCGGTGAAGGAGGAGGATGAGGTAGCCAACACAGTTTTTATATATATATATATATATATTTTTTTTTTTTTTTAATTAGGGTAGCCCACAAAATATTGGGACATACAAAAAAATAAATATTTGCAGCCTGCAGTGCATTTCTTGCAGTCCTGATGCATTGGGAAATGCTCAACTCCTGATGTATGGAGAAAAGGCCTTCACAAGCCTCTACTAATGTGTACATAGTTTATATTAAGTGACCCATAGGTTGAGGAGGCAGTGACCGTGGCGGTGGAGGAGGATGAGGTAGCCAACACTGTTTTATATATATATATATTTATTTATTTTTTTAATTGGGGTAGCCCCCAAAATATTGGGACATATAAAAAAAGACAACTCTGTTCCGCAGAGTAGCTGTTGACATAGTTGCGCAGGCACTTTGTTGACTCTAGACAACCTCGGGCCAATCGCACATCCCCGTGGCGGCGACTCTGCATGCAGATGTCATCCATATCAACTTTCGATGCCAGTTTCTGCGCCTACCAAGGTGACCACGGGTAACGGGGAATCAGGGTTCCATTCCGTACAGGGACCCTGAGAAACGGCTACCACATGCAAGGAAGGCAGCAGGAGCACAAATGACCCACTCCTGATGCGGGAAGGTAGTGAGAAATAACAATACACTATTCTTTTGAGGCCCTGTAATTGTAATGAGTCCACTTGAAATCCTTTAACTCTGATCAATTGGAGGGAAGCCTGGTGCGGAGCCACAGACCCGTGCGTGCTGCAGCTGAAACTCCACTATCGCCTGCTGCTGCTCGCGCAGTCTCATGAGGCGGTGAGCGTGAAGGCCGAAGATACACTGCAGCGCAGACAGGCGAGTAGCAGCAGGGTGAGAACACCGAAAGCGGGCAGAGCCGCTACAGTGAATGTCACATCCTGTTCCAAGTTGCGGATCAGTCTGGTGATGGCTTCTGGTATCCAGTACTCTTTTTACTGAAGCTACATCAGGGTCCTGGTATGTGGCCGCTGGTGCTCAACACCGGGGGGCGTGCGGTTAACCAGCACCAGACCCTGCTAATCCATTCCATACTGTGACTCCTAACTTCAACATCAGGCATACTGGGTCCCGGTCGTCCGACCGCCGCCCAGACAGTGTCTGGGTCCTGATCACCGGACTGCCCACCTGACAGTGAAACTACGAATGGATCGTTATATCTGGTACGAATACGAACTTTGCAGTTCGGGTTCGCTCAACTCTATTATGGATCCTTTGATCGCTACATGTATTACTTGGATAACTGGTAATTCTCGAGCTAATCCATAGCGCTAGGTGACGGCCGCTCCGCTTTTCCACGGCGCTAGGTGACGGCCGCTCCGCTTTTGCACCCTGCTCCCTCTTATGCTGTGCTGGTGTCTCTGTGCGACCAGCGCCTCTTCCTCCAAACTGCACACGTCACTCGCATGACCTTGATTCCATGTGGGGTCTAGCACCTCATCATCCTCCACATCATCTTCCACCCACTACTCAACTCTGCCCTCCTTGCCGGTATGCACACTGCAGAAAGCCACAGCAGTTGGCACCTGTGTTTTTCCAGCATGTAAAGTCTGCAAAGGACATATGGAAATTGTTTTAGAATTGTATCCAGGCAACAGTTTTCCCTATAAACTGACCTCTCAGTTTGACTTGTGAGGGTATTGCCCCAGAATTACAATATTGTTGAAGTACCTCTTAGCTATTGATAACTGGTTTAACCCCTTAAGACCGGAGGGCGTACTATTACGTCCTCTAATAGGCGGCTCTAAACGCCGCCGGGCGTAATAGTACGCCCTCCGGTTTTTGTTAACTTACCCGGTCGCCGGCGGTCCCACGCCGGCGATCGCGGTGGGGGGGACTCCCAGGGAGCCCCCCGCGGCACGACCGTCCTCCAGGAAGCCCCCCGGCCGTATGAGAGTGGGGTCCTAGCGAGGACCCCACAATCACATGGCCGGGTATAGCTGGCTTCTGTATTGCCAGCAGGGGGGCTGCCTGTAATTACAGGGGGTCCCCCTGCTGGCTGAAAATAAAAGTAAAATAAGTTAAAAGTGTAAAAAAATAAAATTATATATACTTAGATCATATATATATATTATATATATATGATCAAAGTATATATATACATATATACATACACACATGTACACCGTCTAGGTGTATTTTACTATTAATATATATATAATTATATATATATATTAATATCAAATTACACGTACACTGATACTGATTAAATATATATATAATTATTGTTATATATATATTTATATATATTATAAAAAAAATTAAAATGTAAATACGCTAAAAAATAAAATTACAAAAATAATTAAAAATAAATAATTAAAAAATATATAGATGTGTGTTATTTCGTTCTAACTGTATTGTGAAATTAATATATATATATATATATCAAAATACACATAGAACGAAATAATATATATATTTATACACATAAATATATACGTATATATCACTATATATATACCTATATATAAATAAAAATATTTTAAAAAAAATATATAGATATATACATATATATACACATACGTATATATATACATATATTGATTCTACATATATATTTATGTAATATTTTTACATAATTAGGTATCTTAATTAATTACAATTAGCAGGACCTGCATGACAACCAATGCCGAAAGTAAAGGGAATTTAATTTGCTAGCACTATATTTAACCCTATAACTTTCCGAGACACCATAAAACCTGTACATGGGGTGTACTGTTCTACTCGGGAGACTTCGCTGAACACAAATATTAGTGTTTCAAAACAGTAAAATGTATTACAACGATGATATCGCCAGTAAAAGTGACGTTTTTTGCATTTTTCACGCACAAACAGCATTAAACGGACAATATTATTGCTATGATACTTTTACTGTTTTGAAACACAAATATTTGTGTTCAGTGAAGTCTCCCGAGTACAACAGTACCCCTCATGTACAGGTTTTATAGTAGCTTTTCAAAGCTGCGCCAAATAAGGCTTGGCGCTTTCATTTTACATTAAAATTCGTGATTGGCTGTTTCTTTGAGACTATAGTAGCTCCAAGAATGAAAATACTTATACTATTTGTAATAGTAGATAAACCTGGCAGTTGTAAATGTATGTCCAGTCTTTTTTAGTAGCCACTTAGTCACAAACACTGGCCAAAATTGGCATTTTTTGCATTTTCACACACAAACAAATACTAACGCTAACTTTGGCCAGTGTTTGTGACCAAATGGCTACTAAAAAAGACTGGACATACCCCATTTGCAATACCTTGGGTTGTCTACTATTACAAATGGTATGCCATTATGGGTGTAAATTTCATTCCCGGGCTACTATACAGTCTCAAAGGCAACGTAACCAATCTGGCGAATTTCAATTTCAAATGTAACGTGCTATATTTGACCCTGTAACCTCCCAAAACGCCATAAAACCTGTACATAGGGGGTACTGTCTTACACGTGAGACTTTACTAAATACAAATATGTGTATTTTATTGCAGTAAAATCAAACAGTATTATGACACTGACCTTTAAAATGCAATTTAGAACAAAAAAAATCAAAAAAATCGTATTTTCTCCCATTTTTTTCATATTAAATTATGTTTCATAGCTAAATATTTGATATTAAATGAAAGCCCTGTTTTCCCTGAATAAAATGATATATAATAAGGGTGGGTGCATTTACTATGAAAGAGGTGTATTACGGTTGGACAGACATGTAGCGCAAATGCCAGGTTTTGTTTACATTTTGTTTTGTTCACAACGTGTACATTTGGCTCCGTCCTTAAGGGGTTAAATATAGCAGCTTGTTATCTGGTAGTTTCTAGTGTAGAAAATACCAATCTGTTTTCTATCACTTAGATCTGTGTAACATGTGTTGTAGGTGTGAAACAATATTACAAGTGACCGATGTAGTAAATTCGAATCAAAGTTACGCTTCGATTTGACTCTCAGATATGAAGTGAACACCCCAAATATACTATTTAGCAGCAAAAATTTTTAAAAATGGACTTGTAAGCAGCAGATTAGCAGCAAAACAATTAGAATTTTTACAGCTGTGCAGTAATTACTATTAGACGCTTCTATTTGACTCTCAGATATGAAGTGCATGCCCCAAAATGTACTATTTAGCCGTTTAGCACCAAAACAATTAGAATGTTTACAATTGCGATGTAACCGCAGTATTTGACGCTTCTATTTGACTCTCAGATATAAAGTGAACGCCCCAAAATGTACTATTTAGCAGATTAGCGCCCAGAAAATTTGAATTTTTACCACTGTGGTGTAAGCACACTATTAGACGCTTCGATTTGACTCTCAGATATGAAGTGCACCGCAGGCCGCAAATGTACTATTTAGCAGATTAGCACCCAGAAAATTAGAATTTTTACAACTGCGCTGTAAGCACACTATTAGACGCTTCGATTTGACTCTCAGATATGAAGTGCACGCCCCAAAATGTACTATTTAGCAGATTAGCACCCAGAAAATTTGAATTTTTACAACTGCGCTGTAAGCACACTATAAGACCTTCGATTTAACTCTCAGATATGAAGAGCAGGCCACAAAATGTATTATTTAGCAGATTAACACCCAGAAAATAAGAATGTTTACCACTGCGCTGTAAGCACACTATTAGATGCTTCGATTTGACTCTCAGATATGAAGTGCACCACAGGTCGCAAATGTACTATTTAGCAGATTAGCAGCAAAACAATTAGAATTTTTACAACTGCACTGTAAGCACACTATTAGACGCTTCTATTTGACTCTCAGATATGAAGTGCACGCCCCAAAATTTACTATTTAGCAGGTTAGCACCCAGAAAATTAGAATTTTTACAACTGCGCTGTAAGCACACTATTAGACGCTTCGATTTGACTCTCAGATATGAAGTGCACGCCCCAAAATGTACTATTTAGCAGATTAGCACCCAGAAAATTAGAATTTTTACAACTGCGCTGTAAGCACACTATAAGACCTTCGATTTAACTCTCAGATATGAAGAGCAGGCCACAAAATGTATTATTTAGCAGATTAACACCCAGAAAATAAGAATGTTTACCACTGCGCTGTAAGCACACTATTAGATGCTTCGATTTGACTCTCAGATATGAAGTGCACCACAGGTCGCAAATGTACTATTTAGCAGATTAGCAGCAAAACAATTAGAATTTTTACAACTGCACTGTAAGCACACTATTAGACGCTTCTATTTGACTCTCAGATATGAAGTGCACGCCCCAAAATTTACTATTTAGCAGGTTAGCACCCAGAAAATTAGAATTTTTACAACTGCGCTGTAAGCACACTATTAGACGCTTTGATTTGACTCTCAGATATGAAGTGCACCCCACTAAAATACTATTTAGCAGTTTAGCACTCAAATAATTTTAAGTTTTAAAACTGCAATGTGACAGCAGTATTTGACGCTTCTATTTGACTCTAGGATATGAAGTGCACCCCACTAATGTACTTTTTAGCACCCAAAAATTTTTACGTTTTAAAACTGCAATGTGACAGCAGTATTTGACTCTCAGATATGAAGTGCACCCCACTAATGTACTATCCCACTAATGTACTATTTAGCACCCCAAAAAATTGACTTTTGACTTTTTAAAACTCAGATGTAAACACGGTATTTGAAGCTTCTATTTGAATCTCAGATATGAAGTGCACCCCACCCCACTAATGTACTAGTTTGCAGAATTCTTTCCTAAGCTGTCCTATCAACGGTAGCATCCTCTCCCTACACTAATAA